CTCGTTTTGCTTTTAAATTGATCAAAATACAGGAGTTCCCCACCCATTCTTGCAACAGCTTCAAATCCCAAATTTTCTAAATATTGCTCCACCCCTCTTCGACCCCTTTTTGCGTGGGAGCCCTGACAACTTCGGGCCCAACACCGCACTGAAAAATGCATCATAACTCAACGCTGAAACTCCAGCGCCTCCTCCGGATTTTACAAGGCGTTCTGCGGCTCATTACGGAGTTCCATGCATTTCCGGGATTTGAGATCCATCGTTTTTCCAAAAAAATTTTCTATTCTTTTTCCCGAATTTTTCGTACATCCAGCCCAGCCGGCATAACGAGGAATTTGTAGTTGGACGAGAAACGCACCGGCTTTTTGCTTGTTGATTCGTTCCCTCGATAGTTTGAATGGATTTTTGACGCTGTATTAATTGACGAAAAAAATTGGCTCCTACCTTTTTTATTTCCTAAAAAAATTGGTGCTAGCGTACTGTCTGATACGCTTTTGGTATGTTTTTGATACAAGTCAGTCCGATTTTGATAGCTTCAAAGACCGCATGGCTTCAAAAAAAGTTAAAACAATCATAGTCTATGGTTGGTATGCATGTTATGTAAAATTATCGTTTAATTACTATGTAAAAATTTAATGTTTTTTCTTACCATGTTGATTATCATTTTTTCACAACACTGTAATTTTCCAGGGGTTAGGAAAGGTCTAAATTGACCCTGCAGACCACCGATTTTTGGGAAATGTCTATTTCACCTACAAAAGGTATTGATTTTTCGCCGTTTCGGTTAATGAAGCATAACTGCACAGTTTTCAAAAAAATAAAATTTTTATCTATGCTAATGCCCGGTAAATATCGCGATCAAATATAAGATAAAGATAAAAGCAAACCGTTGCCTGGAGCGGCACGTAGTCTCACTTTGGCTCAATTCCACGAATATCCCCCAGCCAAGCGAACTTCCAAGGACCTTTAAAAACTTGATGACCTCATCCAGTCCCGCTTTTCCCGCTTGCAAATTCTCAGGACAGAGCACAAAAACTATCTGCGGTCTGTCGTCGTTGGTCGAAGTAATGCCCCCCAGGCGAGGCTGATCGAATTCCTTGGCAATATCCCTGGCACTTGTTTCTTTCTGTTTTCTCTCTCTACCTCCCTCTCTCTCTCTCTCGCTCTCTCTCTCTCTCATCTCCTCCGTCCTCCCTGGCCAGGGCAATTTGAGAAGACCCAGATCCACTCAACACAGGGATATCCCCCTGCCGGCTTTTCCCGAGCATGGCCGGACACACGCACCGGTTAAGCATGTTTTCCGGCGATTTCCTGGGCCACTTGGAGATTGCACACTGGCCTTTGGGATTTTGAAAGTTTGCAAAATCTCTAGAGATTCAGAATTTTCGATTTTCTAATTTTTATGTCGTTCTTTGAAAGTTACCGTTTTCCATTAAGCAATATAAATTGACTGCTTCTGTTTTCAAGACAATTTTGTCGCGTGTAAATGATCTTTGCTAGCTTGCCACTTTGCGCCTTCCAGAAGGTCCATAAACAATGGTATTTATTTTTTACGTATTCTAATTTTTCGTCTCTTATTCTCCTACCGTATCGGTTGCTCAAAGAATTTTTGCTGGTCTGTCACTTTTGCCTTATCTTACCGACCATTAATCCAAAATCTTAGAGATGAGCATGAGCTTTTTCTAGGGCTGCCTTCAATTTTGCCAACAAATTCCAGACAATTTGACTTTTTGCGAAAGCCTAACAATGCGACGCTCATTTCAGCGAAGTTCAAATTTTTTGAACGTTTAATCCTTCATGTAAATTTGATCAGGTCAGACGAAGCCGTTGAAACTACAGAACCCGGCCTGGGAACCGAATTCTCCAACTCTTAATTCCAGAGATCTCCAGACCAGAGATGATTTTTCTGGGGCTCTCTGATCCGTAACTCCGATTCTTTGGAGTTTTTCTTGCCCCCATTTGTTGCCCGACGATCCGGAAGGCTTTAATCAAATTCGCTTGGCAAGGGTATGGCTTTAGGCAAGACTGGTCAGACGTTCTCTTTGAAATTAGCTTTGTTTTGTCCAGAATTTCGCGATGTTTTCGAAGATTTTGAACGACTTTTTTAATACCTAAAATTTTCGTTTTTTTTTGGAAATGCTAATGTTACAATAATCGATTCAGACCTAACGACGTTTGTCCCTATCCAAAAAAAGGATTTTTCTGAAGCCTGAAGCTATAGGTGCGGATCAACGTCAGGAAGGTGTTTATGCCATCCACACAGGCATCTGATATTTTTACGTTTAACTTGCCATGTAGTATTTATGTGGTAAAATTCCGCCAGCTATTAAACTACAACTCCATTTTTTTGTTGACGCAAGCCTGATTTTTCCGTGCTTGCGTCATCAAATTCCATATCTATTTTTGCAATTTTTCGTCCAATGTGGATGGCTAGCCAAAAATCATAGATATCTGATCTTCATATAAACATCCACTTACCCTCATATTTTTGCCTCATTCATCAGCCCTCCACCCCCTTTTTGCGACTCATTTTCCGACCCACACCCAGCCAGGGGCGGGCTAGATGGACATTTTCCCGGTTGCCCAGACCTAGGCCGATTTTCCGAATTTTCTGTGTAAGCCGGAAACGTATCAGCCCGCCGAGATTTGGGGGCCAATTTATTCGGGATTTAAGGCAATTCTAGGATTGTTATGTTTTTTTCCAAAGTGGTTTGTTTCGAGGAATTTGTTGTTTTGGAAAGCTGGACATTTGCCAAGTATCGTAATGTCCAAAGCTCGATTTCTGGAAGGATAGGAGATTAAAGTCTCGGCTCGTACTTAGAAAAATGTCTTTTGGGGTAGACTGGATAGGGCAAAGAAGCAGTCGTTTTAAGATTTGGGATAGCGCATTAATGACAGGATTGAGTAGAGAAGCCAATGCTTTAACAGATCTACCAAAAAGGCCTAAACTCTAATAATTTTTAGCTGTTTCTGAAAATGTTGTTAATTTAGATAATTACTGTATGCTGAAAACATTTGTCAACGTGCAATAATGCCTGTATGTTTCCTTCCTCCTTTAATTGCGTATTCCTGACACCCGAATTCGTTGTCGGACGTGTCAACCTCGAGAACGGGATGATAAATTGTGCATCTACAGCGGGCGCGATTAGACACTACAGGATTATCCCATGTTTGCTTGTTTTCTTTGCGAGCCTCTCACGGATTTGCGAGTTTTTCGGATTAGTCCGTCAGCTCTAACAACCTTTCATTGTTTGCCGGCACTCGGAATGGTTGAGTGATTTCTGGGACGGGATTCTCTTCGTTTCTCCACGCCAAAAGTCTCGCGGAAGTGGGATAGTCCTTACTACTAGGAACTCCTCATTGATGCGTGTTTGCTGGCTTCTTCTTTTTACTTTTCCTTTGCTCAAATGATCTCTGCTAGCTTGCGCTCTCTCACGCTCGCTCTCTTTCTCTCTCTCTTTCCCTCTCTGTCGTTGCGCGTTCCGCAAATTTTCACTGCTAGATTGCCAGCGCGTTCTCCTGTAGATTTCTCAAATGAGGGTTGCTAGCTCGCCTCTGTTTTTCGTCCTGCCCTGTGCCTCAAATGACCTCTGCTAGCTTGCTTTTTTCTCGTTCGGCATCTTTAACGTTTTCTGCTGGCTTTTCTTCCTTTCAGTTTGCGGATTCCGCAAATGTACCCAGCAACCTTGCCTCGAATTTTGCTTTTCAAATTCCGCAAATGAGCTCTGTCTTCCCATTTATAAACTGATTTATACTAAAAATTCCTGATCTCGACGTTCCGGAACCTCCGTTTTCCCATTTTTCCAACACCGGAAGCACCATCTCCGGGCCTTTTTCCGGGACACCAAAAGTGTGTCCATATATTTTTGGAATACGCCCCGAACGGCCCCATATTCACCGCCCGCACGGGGTAATGATTCCCATTTTTCAGAACCCAAAAAAACTCCCGGCTACGTAGCCATTTCAACCTCAAGAACCCAAATCTAAGGACGTCTGACATTTCTTCAATTTCTCTAGAGCAACCCTAAAATGAAGGCCTACTCGTTTTTCGCCTGACAAATGGCAACAAATTTTCTGGGCCGTTCGACTCCTCTTGACGCGCTTGGTCTTTGGATTTTCATCGGCGACACTGTCTTTGGGGAAATTGCCGGGTTTCTGGGGTAGGATTCGAATTTTTCAGGCATTTTTTGGGTCCACGAAATTTGGGGGCCCAAGTGTGTTGGGATCAGAACGGCCACCATTTCCCTTCAAAAAAATTCTGAAAAAGATCCCGTGATTGTCGAGGATTTTTTGGCTTCAATGACCGGTGTGTCCAGTTTTGAGAATTGGGATTCTGGGTACACGCCAATGCTTTCAGCAAAATGTAAATGCCGTTGCAAATGACTGGTATAGGTTCACGCCCTACGTATCTTAGCTTCATTACATTCTTCTCTACCATCAATTCGGAAAGGTTAGGTAGATTTTAGGATGGCGCGTGTTCGGTTTAGGTCTTCTCCGCACCCTATCTCTCCTCCCCCTCCCTCCCACCCCCACTCTCTCTCCCCCTCTCTCTCTCTCTCTCTCTCTCCTCTTTCTCGCGCTCCTCTCTCTCGCTCATCTCTCTCCCTCTCTTACCGTCCTGAGTCAACCACTTTGAGGTTAAGTTTGCGTAAATCCGGAAATCTTCGAATAATCTGCCTTTTCTCATAAAACCAGGATCGAAACATTCCATCAAAACAAACCAAGTACATTGCTTTTCCGTAGCCGTTAATTCCTTCCCTGGCAGCGATTTGTAGCCGGTGAGAAAATTATTGAACCGGGTGTTTTTACGTGTGCCCTGAGCCGAGCAAACAGAAGCTTGGCAGCAAAGGCTAAAAACTAACTGCTATAACTTGCTATCCCTTGCTCAAATCTTGCGTCCAATTATCCTACCTAAATTTTTGTTTGTTAGCGCTTCTCCAATTCTTGGTTTGTATCCTTTTTAGAATTTTTTTGCCTCTTACATTCTATTTTTTTCAGGAATGGAACATGATTACAACGAGCAGGATAATTACACAGACTACCAGGTCAGCGTTGTCTTTGCGTTTTTTGGAATTTCCCGGGTTTAGTTTGTGCTTCGTGGAAGCCCACGATGAAATTCCAATTTTCCAATTATTGTGACGTTACGTATTTTTTACACCCCGATTAGTCATAGAGTTCCATCTGAAAAGCAGTTTTTTTCTGGGGTAAGGATTCCTAAAATCGTAATCCACTCCCAAAATCAAAAATCCACTCCCTACTCAGGAAACCCACCAGTCAGCGTGGCTTCCATATTTGATAATTTTGGCGGATGGGTGGATGCAGGGGTTTTTGGGACGACACGAGATGTGGTTGGGGTTGGGGGGGAGATGACGAAAGGAGCAGCGGAAAAGCTGGGTAAAAATCAGGTGTAGGATCTGGACAACTTAAAATATAGAAATTACAGCGAGCAAGCCCCAAAACGTGAAAGTTTGATGGAAATCTAAGATCTAGTGACGTCCCAGAACATCAAATTCCATAAAATCGCACTCCACTATTAGTACGCCGATTTCAGACGGTATTCTGGAAAAAAATGACTTACAATTCCAATTTCGGATTAAAATAATTAATGACTCAAATACGATGTCAGAAATTGGCGATAAGGTGCATAAAACCAACAACTTTTTGGCAGACCATTAGTGCGCTTTCGAGGTCAATAAGTGTCGTATCCATAATTTATAAACGTTTGTTTCAGGATGAATTTTCCGACCCGGTCGTTTGGTCGGCCGGCTTGGCCTCGGTGGCCATTTACACGATCGCTTTCTCAGTCGGAATCCCAGCAAACCTCTATGTGCTCTTCCGGATGCGGCGATTAGCCCGGTGAGTCGGCAAAACCTTGGAACAGCTGCAGTATCCCACTATTTCTATTTTCGTTTCGTCACCTAACGATTACCAAACTTATTTTCCTTGAATCTCAGGATTTGCGTAAGCCTGACCATGAGCCAGAGCGGGCGCTTTGCAACCTAAGCCTGTTTGTACTTACTGCAGAATATTGTATTTGTCACAAAAATCCACCATTCAGCAACAATCCCTTCCCAACCTTAATCCCCCTAAAACACGCCGGGCACTTGCTCATGACCACCAAAAACCTATCTAATCTGTGTTATAGTCAGGATTTCCGGATTTTGACGCCGGGATCCGAGCGAAATTTCAAAACCCACGGATTTGGTTTGGGTGATGTTCGAGATAGGGATCAAGAAATATCAAGACGAGAGAGATAGAGATAGAGAGAGTGAGAGAGAGTGAGAGAGAGAAACTACTTTTGGACTCATTACTTTTTAGAAACGATGTCGAGCGATACCGTAACGGGACGGGTATCGCCTTGTGCTCAATGGCAGCCGCAGATCTATGCAGTTTGCTCTTGATCGGGGCCCAGAATCTGCTCAACTTCACCCCAGAGCCCGATGCGACGACGGACTGGATGATGCGGAAGGGCGTTTGCAAGGTGAGGCGCAATCTGTGCGTTACTGTGTGTAAAAGGAAGACGTTTTACGGTTCTAAGGTTTAGTCCCGGGACTGCAAACTGGATCCCAAAGTTTTACATACACAAAGTATTCAAAATACTCACGTAACTGTTAACGGAGCTCTAAACGAAATTGAAAGCCGTAAAAAGCCGGTGTTTTAGCCTTTCCAACACAGTTTTAAGATGATATGACGTCAAAAATTCCAATTTCCAGGCTCTGCTCTTTCTTACTCACACGATTACCGGGATCTCCATCTGGTCCTGGCTGCTCCTCTCATCATTACGATACCTCGCAATCTGCCACCCCCTCTACCACCTCCGCCTCTGGCAGATGCCCTATCGAGCGTTGGCATTTATTGTGGTAGGTTTTATGTATGGCCTAAAATTGGCCTAAGTACGATTTTGGTCCTATTTGCAAATCCAGTAGTCATTCGAATAACGCTCACCAAAAAACGTTTCGATTTCCGTCAAAATACCCCACTGACGCCTCCATGCATCGAAAATCACAATTCTGACCTAGAACCATGTTTTCAAAGTAGCGCACGTTGCTAAAATGTGCAGATATGCACGAACCTCCGTGAGTCACGGCTTTGAAAAAACCCCTCTTGGAGACGGATACAATCAACATCAATTATCCTCGTCCCAGATTCTGCTGGATAGAGAGGGGGTTCTGGGGCGCCGGAAGCATTTTTTTGCGCGTCGTGTGTGTATGTGCTTGCGCACGGAGCAGGAACGAGCTTTCCAAGAGGCGCAATGGGTCAAAGAAGGGGATCAAAAATGTTGTTTTAAGTAAAAAAATCCCCAAAGCCGAAGTAAGCCAAAGCACGCTAAAAAGGCTTATGTCAAGCAAAAAATGGTACAGATAGCCCGGTTGAAGTGAAAAAAGCTAAAAAATGTGTCACGCTAGGTTTGAAACCTCAAAAAATGGCTTGTTAGCGCTACCTTAATGCGGTGTCTATGCCTTTTAAATAATAGTACCATACAGACCATACACCTTACACTGCTATGGATCCTTTTCCAGTCAATGTCCATCTTCTTGAACGTCTGGCTACTCGTAGCAGTAGATGCGGACGGCGGAGGCTGTACACAGGTAAATTTTGTACTCGCTTTTGGCGCTAGCATCTTCCTGACTCCTGCTCCTTTTCAGGACTTTCTGCTTCCATTAATCCGCGAAAGAGCTCTGAATTTGCAGGTGCCGTTAATGAAGAACTCCGCAACAGCCAATCGCCTCTTCCACATCGTGGAGTGCGTCTGGTCATTCATAATCCCGTGCTTTGTCATCGTCGTCATGGACACGTCGGTGGTGCTGAAGAGCACGTGGGTTACTGTAGAAGGGTCAATTAAAATCCTGTTCGTCCTAAAATTCACAACAATGCCAACGCGCGGAAAACGATGGATTTTGCAGATTTCTGAGTAAAACTCTAGATTATAAATCTAAAACAATTAATCAACGAAAAACAATAATATTGATATTTTAGGTCCTTTACGTGGTTCTTGGAGACCGAGAAAACCGGAAAGGATAAGCGGAGAAGAAGCGCCCTGGAAGAGATCATCAAGCTGACGCGATCAAACTCTGGACGGGTGAGGGTGGGTTACTGTAGTTACCGTAAGATGGTTTAAAGGGATCGGGAAGACCTGGATATGGTTTTCGGTCCTTGCTTTGATGGATTCCGGTTTTATTCACGGTTAGACGCGCTGCATCACGTACGTAGCCAAAAGAACCATCGCCAATAACCGAGTCTTTAAAATTTGCGCCTAAAAGGGACATTTGAGAAACCTAAATTTCTCTTTTTCTTTAGATTTTTCCCTTTTTCAGGCCCGCCAACAGCGCGCCCTGTGCCGATGGCTGTTGATCGCGCTGGTGTGCGTCTTGTTGAATACCCCGGAGAACACGTTACGCCTAATTACGCTGTTCGGGATGCCGGATTTCCAGAATAGCGGCTGGCATCTGTCGGCGAGGATGTTGGCGCAGGCGTTGTATTTTAGGTATGGAAATCGGAGAAATTGGAGAACATCAAAGATGAAACTGTGTACCAAAATCTGTTTTCGAAAGAGAGAAGAGAGAAGGAGAGAGAGAGCGAGAGAGCAAGAGAGAGTGAAAAAGAGAGTAAGAACGAGAGAGTCGGAGTAAGGGCTAGACCGAGAGAAAATCCGAAAAATCCAAGAATGCCTGTTTCAGCCAGTTCGCCTTCAACGCCATATACCTGGCGCTGTTTGTCTACGACAAGAGCAGCAGATCGAAACATGTACACGACGGGAGCAACTACAACTCCCACGCAAGTACGTTGATTACTACTTTACGACCGAATCCTAATACTAAAATGATACACCCCAATTTTGTTGCCCTAACCCCAAAACTGACGTTGACACGTAACCATATTACCACGCAAACATCGGGTGCGCGAAAAAACTGGTTAGCGAGAGCCGTTTGTACGCGTCATTTGTGTGCGGGGGCGGAGGTTTTGTGGATTGTGGCTTTTCAATGAGAGAGAGAGAAAGAGAAAGAGAGAGACAGGAAGAGAAAGTGAGATCGAGAGAGAGAGAGCAAGAGAATGGGCAGGAGAGAACCAAAACAGTAGATAGGGAGCGAGAACAGGAGAGAGAGCGAGAGACAGGAGAGAGAGAAAGAGAGAGTGAAAGAGAGAGACAGAGAGAGAGAAAGAATGACGGCAGAGAGAGAGACAGTGAGAGCGAGAGACAGATATCGAGAATTTTCAGCTGACGCCAAAACGAGCTTATAATTTTTACAAGGTATACGACAAATCACCTTTCGCTTTGCTACAAATTACATGCAAGAATTAGAAAAAACCAATAAAAAAGGCTATTTCAATTTATACTAAAAATCCGATTTTTTTTTGGGAGTAATTGCAGGATTAATTTTGTTACTAAAAACACATTTCCCTGAAAAAAAACCATAACGGTACTACGGTATTTAGTCCACCTAATATTCGCCGAGGCGTTCATGCAGCACTTTGCCGCCCATGCAACAAGTCCCCGGTCGAAGCGGGCTAAAATGGGTAAAGATACCTGTCGAGCACGGCCTAGCCAGAAAGCTAAATTTCCCAATCAATACCTTCCCGACACCTTTAGAATAATTTTATTTAACCTATGCTATTTTAACACCCTTTACTACGCCACGTTTCCGCTGCGCTACCCTAAACACCATACCCGCACACCACCAGCCTGCACCGAACCCGCAATTCTGAGCCTTAAATGGATGTAGAATTTTTTTAAGAGTATGCTTTCAGTTCTGCCGCCCCTGCTGAGGTCCCGGAGAGCATCTACATGCTGCGAAAGTCCGCCACATCAACCGAGGGTGCATAAGATGTCTCAGACGCATCGACTACACCCTCAATTGTCGCTGACGACTAGCAGATCCTATGTGGAGATACCGCAGAGCCAGATTGCTGAGTTGCACAGGAGCATTTCGGAGAATTAAATTTGCATATTTTGGGGAACGTAATTTTTAATGGTGGTATACGGTAGCAAGGGAGACCGTAGAGCGAAATTTAAGAAGCGTTGAATTTTGAAATTTGCAAGTTTTGAGCTAGATAAGGGACATGTTAAAGGGATGGCTAGACATGCATTGCAGGTCCCTTTAAAATCGAGTTTAGAGCGGTTTTTGACCACTTTTCCAGCTTAGAAGCCGATAGATTTCTGCAGTCTGGAGTTTCCTTAAAATAGACTAATCCGCTACCAAACGGCTAAAATTATGGTTTCGAAATTTCCGAAATGCTCCGTTCGTCAAAACACCTTTTTTGCGTTTCCTTGCCATCGCATCTCGCATATCGCCAATTTACTGTACGATTGTTACCCAAAACGCAGCCAGACTGGTTTAATCGTGTGTCACAGCTTCTCAATTCCATCACTCCCCAACTTGCCCCATAATTAAATGTATAAAAATGGCTTATGCCAACCGTCGTGTGTGTGATGTGCCGGTTTTCCTATATATCGTGTATTCCCCGAATTCCATGTAATATCGAAAATTTTGGCTTCTGTGAATTTTATATTGCCATAACCTAAAAGTTTTTGAGGCTTTAAAGGGACCGTAAAAGCAAAGAAAATTACATTCTAAATTTTTCACGATTCTAATTCCTACTAAATCTTGGCAGAATTACAATATGACCTTTTCCATCAAATGACATTTTAAAAATTTATATAATGTTCTTACGAGACGCGCCGTAACGTTACGTTTTGATACGATAAGCTACAAATTACGTACGTAGATTACGCTACTTTGTAAGCGCGATATGTTGCAGAAATCAGCCTGCCGGTCCCTTTAAAACATAAAAATTCTGCTGTTTACTGTTGCCAATTTTAGACGGGTTTTCGATCTCCATATGTATTATTTTCAACCCTTTTTCGTTGTATTTTCCCTGGTTCGCGACAATAAAATTCAACCCTCTCTTTTTGTCGCCACCCGCCAGGCCATAATTTTGCAATCCAACTACCGTACCCCCTAGGACACAACACACACACACAAAACTCTTCTGACTGCTATGATAATCGAACACAACCACCTAGACGAAATGGCTTTAGGGACGATAAAACGGTGGATAAAATGTGGAAAACAAATGGGGGAATTTGGTGGTAAAACGCTGGGGCAGCGTGGCAAACACACTGCCGCCATCAACACGAAATTTTTGGAATTTTGTAGTTTGGTTTTTAAGTAGAAATGCTAACCTTTTGTATATATAATCGCCTGGTTAAAGGACCGAAGTATTCCCACTTTAAAGGAACTATCTAGGCTGGCGTCGGCGCACTCATAGACATGCCAAGAAGCTAATGTAAATCCAGATAACCTCGTCGTGATTCATCTCGAAATGTCGATAAATTTAGAGGATACAATGTTCTAAAGATACGCGTTTTCTCCTTTTATTTTCTGCTTTTTTAACGGAATTCGCATTCTCAAATTTTGCCATGCTCTATCACGTGGCTTCCTTGAATGCTCAAATCTCACGCTTCGATAATTCAGAATCAAAAATTAATTTATCTTTTTTTAAGGATCTGCACTTTTGAAAACTGCGCTAAATTACGTTTTGCTTTTTCAGGAAAAAATAATCTTGTTTTTAAATAAGAAGCATTACAGAGAAATATGCCTGGACTTTACATCTCGAAAATCCAAATTTAACTCGAGGCCGCCCTAGCTACCTTTTAAGGCCAAAATACTAATGGCTTGGACCAGTGGCACACCCCCCAGCTTGCATCGGCTTATCACCAAAAATGTGGGGTCCACATTGTCCAGTTGTCTTGTCTTTTGGCTTTTCAGGTGGCTAGCAGCTCGTTTCGGGGCTTATGTTTGCACGGTTTAGTGCGGCTTGAATTTATTGCTCTCACCAGGCTGCTGATCTATTAAGAAATTTCGTCTGGTTTCTAAACCTAATTCATAGCACATTTTAGTCCTTTTAAACTCTTATTTTCCCCGTTACTTCAAAAAATCCTGAATTTTTCTGCCAAGGTTTACAATTCAAAGATCGCCTCTCGCTGGTCACAAAATTAATTCTTCGTTTCGTTTTCATAAGTCTATTTTGATTCGCTTTTAGCCTCATACAAGGCGTTCAAAAAGCAGCATGAAAAGTTAAAAAGCGGCTCAGATTTCAATTTCTGCAGCCTTTTCGGAATTCAAATTAAGAACTTCCGCTACTTCTTTTTGCAACCCGGAACATAATTTCCAAAAATGAACCCCGGCTCCACCCTATCATTATCATTCATTCCTTTTCTTTTCCGGGTGAAAGCCGCCTCGTACCCGGGATTTCCGTTCACTCCGCGTTTACGTAAAAGAAAGGATAACCCGAAAAAACAGTTGGGCAAACGCTCGACCAGGCAGAAATGGGAGAATGGTAATCCGAGGTGGAAACAGAGAGCATACTGATCGAAATTGATCACATGGCAATGGAGAGGCAAACTTATTGGTTTTTTTTGCTTGTTAAAAGGTTGAGTTTACAGTATCTCGCTCTCTCTCTCTCTCTCTCTCTCTCTCTCTCTCTTTCTCCACTACTTTTTTTCTGATTTTCTAGATTTTCAGATGGTCTTTCGCTTGAAAAATAGCGAATTTCCACTACAAACTCTATTTAAGCACACGATTAGGTGACTAGCCATTTTTTGACCTATAGGAAGACTTCGGTCCTCAAATTCGCTCACCCCACCGATAATGCGAAAGATCCAGTGAATTAAATTCCGTCATTTTTAACAAATTGAAGCGCCCCAGTTTCCAAAAATCATGATTCCCAAAGTACGCCCTGTTCCTATCGCCGACCTTTCGCGGATGATGATCTGTTTGCCAAGGCTTTTCCCTCGCCCCAAATCTTCGTCATGTTTCTTCTAACTGTTTACAAGCAGTTTTGGGGGCTGAAATACCACTACAATTCAAGTAAACATGTGATAGAAAGATAGATGAGATAGAAGAGGTAGAAAAAGAACGATTGGGGCGGTATTTTTGGGGGAGGCCAAACCATTGTGCGCTTTTTCAGTCGATCCGGGTGAGCAACCCCTGCGCGCACAATTATAATGTTTTTAAAGGTCGCTCGGGTTTGGGATTTTGCATTGTTGTTTTGGGCATTCAAAATTCTCGTTCTTTTTCTAGCGCTATCTGTTAACATTAATTCATTTAGCTTCATCCTTTCTTGCATTCCAATCAGCGCGATTTGATTTTTTGGCTTTTTAAGGTTATTTAGTTATTAAACATATTTTTGCAGCACCAAAGCTAAACGGGTTAGACGCATTATTCACAAAAAATTTGCAGCAGCGGTCGTTGACAATTTTCCATGCAAATTCTGCTTTTTTCCAAGTTCCCCCTCATCCCTTTTGCTCTATCCGGCACACGTGGGCCGCGTTTCCCAAAACTCCGCGGCCATTTATGGGCCAAAAGCCGCCCGGAATTTGCGAATTCGATCGATTTGCGGGTCAACAGGATCGGGTCTGCGTGAACTAGCTTTCTACTGATTTTTCCGGGTTAGAATTTTAGTAGAAAATGCTAAAAATTCCTAAAGACTTGATGGTCACTTATCATCTCAACCGAAACCGGTTACACGGGTGGGACAAGTTCTTCCTACCTTTTTCTACTTCTCTCTCTCGCTCTCTTTTTCCTCTCTCATTTTATTCGAGCAATCCCTGATTTCTTACTTGTTCCCGGAACAGCATGACCGTTTTCGTGGATCGCTTTTGTTCTAGGAATTGCGAGGATCTCAACAAACTATCTCGGTTTTAAGGCAACAACTTTGACCCAACACCAAACATTTGAACCGGGAAACCAAGTAAAAACTTCTGAGCATCGAATCACTGTTCCGGCTCTGCATTTTCTTTCCTTCACTCTTCACCGACAAGCCGACGATGGCCGGTGGAGCTGTGGTAAGTTAAGGGTGTTGAGGTTGTAGGTGGCGTACGGTAATTCATGTGATTTTAATATGATTTATTGAGCCTCATTATGAAAATTAATGGTTTCTCCTAGGTGGCCGCCTCGAGTTCCGGTCGCCCACAACCCTCCGAGCAGCCGAAAACAACATTTTACGTGGTGTTGCTCACCTGTTTGGCCTGTGTCGGAGGGCTATTATTCGGTTATGACACAGGCGTGGTTTCGAGGTAGTGTAATAACCAGAAAGACTACATTAAAAGGGATGGGAAATAATTAAATTGAATATTCCGGTACCTGGGATTCGGCAAGATAAGAGCCTTTCAAATCACGAGTTAAATACGGCTTTACAAAGCAGTAAAGGCAGGCAGTCACAAAGTTATACGTTTTTCAAAACTAGGGAGAAATTCGGATCGAAAAATCTCAAAAAAAATAGTGGCAATACGTTACCATACGTTTCCATTACAGTGCCATGCTCTTCCTGCCCGACAATCCCGGGATGAAAGGTCTCAATACAGTATGGCAAGAGCTGATTGTCAGTATCACGCCGGGTATGGCTGGTATTGGAGCGTTAGTGGCAGGTATAACCGGTGAAACGATTTAATTTCATGAGTTTTGTTAGGAAAAGCTTCCGATATGTACGGCCGACGGATAATAATCCTATCGGCATCGCTAGTATTCGGAGTTGGGGCTATCGTTTGTGCGGTGGCGCCTGAAAAGTGGACGTTATTATTTGGAAGAGTGTTGCTTGGAATAGCTGTTGGTAAGTGTTGTCTTGTCGTCTCTCTTTCTCTCTCTCTCTCTCTCTCTCTCTCTCTCTCGCTCCAGCTTCGTGTTTTAGGCTTTGCTTCCATGATCATCCCCGTCTTCATCGGAGAAGGGGCCCCAAGTCACATGCGAGGAACGTTGGTCACAATTTACCAGGTGGGAAGCTATCGCCTTTACCCAGAATAGGCATAGAAATGATAGATTACAAAGCGCTATAAGATTCAATGCGCTTTTTAGTTCATGATCGCCGCCGGCTTCATCGTAGCCAACGGAGTCGCAGCCGGATTCGCTCAAATCGACCCGGAAAGGGTGGGCTGGAGGCTGATGTTTGGGTTTGCCGCCATTCCGGCTATAATTCAGGTATCTAAAAACGATACTATTTATTGGCTACAATAGCGTACTAGGTATGAAAAATGTACCTTAATATTTTTTAGTTTGTTGGATTCATGTTCCTGCCCGATACCCCGAGATATCTCTTCAACCAGGGGCGCAGCGACGAGGGCGAGGAAGTGTTGGCAAAGGTTCGTGTTCGAGGTTTTTTATCTTTCTAAGGGGAGCATGACACTTTTAAGCTCTTAAATCAGCCAAAAATGACGCCTTAAAAATGCTTCTTTAAGATCTACGGTGGCCACAAAGAATGGATAAATTACGAAATCGAAGAAATCCGAGATGCCATCGAAATGGAGGAGAATGCGAAGAAAGAATTTGGTAAGTTCTTGAGCTCAAAAGTCATTACGTAGTTCTCGGAATTTCACAATACAGTATCCACATTTTAGAAGGCCAAATGATCATCTCGCGCGTGTTCCAAACCCCTCATGTCCGACGGGCTCTTTTCGTTGGTTGTTCGCTGCAGATGTTCCAGCAGTTGATCGGGATTAACACGTTACTGTATGTTAACTAACCAAAGGATTAAATTGACGCTAACTTGGACTAAATGGGTAACAAGATAAAAATTATTAAACTCAAATTGATTAATCAAAACTCGATTTAGATACTACACCGGAAAAATCATCCAGTCTGCTGGAATTGAAGACAAGACGAGCACGATTCTGATTTCCTGTGCTATTTCCGGTTGGTAATTTGCATTTTTTGATCTATTAATTTTAATCCCGGTCGTTTAAATATCAAAGCTCAGAAAAAGTGGTTCCTTGGCCGTTTTTGTTTTAGCGTATTAATAAGATTAGCCGTTAAAAGACAATATTAATCGTGTTTTCGCTTTGCTAAGAATCGGGTTCGTGGGAGAAACTTGTTACCGGTCACTCTCCCTTTAAAACCAATTTCCAGCTGTCCAAGCCGTTGCCACTTTTATCCCGATGAAGCTGATCGAGTGGAAGGGACGAAGAGCCATCACATTGGTGTCGATGGTCGGCGTCTTCATCTCACTCTGCCTGATGGGCGGAGCGTTCTTGATGGTTAATAAGGTACGGAGAATTCGTGAAACTTCAACGCTTCCAACCTCAGGACTCCGTCTCCTTGAATCCAAACGATCTCTCCGGGCTCCCCAGTAACGCCAGTGCGTACGACGAGTTCAAGAAGTGCAATGATTTTACGTACGTATTTTCGCTTTCACCTCTTAATCAACCCGTTTTTCCTGAAGAAACACCGCTAGATTGCCTCAGCAATCCAGGGTTTAATTTACGAAAGGTTTTTAGAAACTGCGATTTCTGCGTAACTGCCCCTCACTGCGGCTTCTGCCACTCCACCGATAATGATAAAGCTGGACAATGTTTACCAACAAATATGAATAGTGATAGCCAGAGTACCATGGGGTAAGTTACAGATTAAAACACCAAGATTATCAAACTTTATAGGTACTGTGTAAATGATGTGAATACGATGACCAATGTGACTTACAAATTCACGCATTACTGCGCTACAAAGTACACGATGCTTCCCATTATCGTGATGGTGATCTACTTGGTGTGCTTCGCTTTTGGTGAGTATCGAGAGAAAGAAACAGTAAGAGCGAGAGATACAGAGAGAGAGAGAGAGAGAGGCGGCAAGACCGAGATGGAGAGAGCGAGAGCGAGAGAGAGAGAGAGAGAGAGAGAGAGGGAGAGAGAAAGAGAGAGACACCAAGAGAGCTATATATTTTCAGGTATGGGACCGATGCCATGGGTCTACAACGCGGAGATCTATCCGCTATGGGCCCGTTCTACTTGTGTATCTTTGGCCACTTTCACAAACTGGCTTTTCAACCTGATCGTCGCGCTGACTTTCTTATCGCTTGGTGAAGCCATCACCAAATACGGTAAGTTTGAGCTGCAGGCTGGAGAGAGAGAGAGCGCGCGAGAGAGCAGACCCTCATTCTCGATTTTCAGGCTCCTTCTTCCTCTACGCCGGCTTCACCGCCGTCGGTTTCGTCGTCTTCTACTTCTTCATGCCCGAAACTAAAGGGCTCCAAATGGAAGAAATCGAGCATCTTTTCAAAACCAAGGCAGAACGAAGGAAGACTAACTACAGCGCGCACAACCCGGGGCTTGAGATGCAGGACAAATACTGATTTTTCAAACCCTGAAAACATCCGACAAGCTCATGCTCGATTCTCGTTACTCCCTTGCCTGCAAAAATCGACTTCCAAAAATTGATGTTATCTAACTAGTCATACTTTCCTTAAACTGTACATATCAGCTTTAAATTTGTGATTCCAACCTTTTTGTGAAATTACCTTCAATTTTCTGATCCGTAAAATTGTGATGACTGCTATATATTTATTTGTGTTCAGTTTCGGGGCGTTAGATGCTACTTAATAAATGCACAAATTTGGATATATTTATCGAAACTCACAAGGGGGAAAGGATGCGTGACAAATCGATAATTTATGCAAGAAAATGAATAAAGTATTAAATTACCAGAATTTTTTGCAAAATTTGTGCTTATCACAGCGTTCCGGCAGAAAAACAAGGAAGAGCACGTGGTGAAACCGATAGATTTGCCGATAGATCGAGGGGTTAACCAATAAGTTATGGAGTTAGAAAATGAGAAAAATCGTTTAAAGGTAGCTCAGTTAATGCTGCTTCAGCTTCTCAAAGTTGACCCGGGCTCTCTCGATATTTTGGACGAATGGGTGGTTAGGATTGACGGCGGCAATCTAGAATTTTGCGTTGAAAGAGAGGGAGAGAGGGAGAGAGAGAGAGAGAGAGAGAGAGAGAGAGAGGGAGAGAGGGAGAGAGAGAGAGAGAGAGCAACTACTAACCTGAACCAACTGCTTCCTTGCAAAGTTCAACGGTGTCTTCTTCTTATCATTGTGAAGTTGCGCCCGGATTTTGTTAATCATAGCCTCAACGGAGTTCGGATCTCGTTGCAGGACCTCCTAGAAAGTAAAATTACGTTGAAAAACCTAGTTTGACATGCGTAAAATACAAAATCTGGCAAAGTGTACCTCCAATGCCTCTTCCGCTTCTTCCCCTTGACCCTGCGCGATCAGGGCGTTCGATTTGCCGATTAGGAGGTAAGGGGTGGCGCCATACTTGTCGATAAGCTCCTGAAAGGCAATATTTTAGATGATTAATATGCTTTGTGATAGCTTGTATAAAATCTGTAAAAAATAGCGGTCGGACGGACCTGGTAAATATAGAAGGCATCCTTCAGCTTCTCCTTTCCAATGAACATATTCACCCAGGCGGTCGCGAGCTGCGTCAATGTTGCATCTTCGTCCTGCTCGCTCATTCGGGCAAGCTCCTTGCTAAATTCGACGTTTATTATGGCCGTTCATTACCGTATTAGATTTCTATAAGCAACGTCCGCACTTACATAGCAACGTCGGGCCGGTTCATGGCCAACAGCGCGTGAATCGAGGCGCCCCGTGCTTCGAGGTGCTCGACGTTGTGAAGCAGTTGCAACGTCTTCTCGGGGTTCTAAAAATATTCCTGGTCTCTGAAAAACTCAGAAGTGCCAATGGGTGAAAAATACGGTGCTTGAAGTGCTTACGTGTGCTTGAAGGTACAAAACTCCGTATGCGACTCGGGCCAACGGTTCGCTGCTCGATTGGGCCTCTTCTTCGATGTCTTCGAGGAATTTGGGTCTGAAACCGGGTTCGTACGCTTAACAAAAGCGCATCCCTGTTAAAATAATTTTTTTACAAAAGCACGTATGTGAAAATTTTTGGCAAAAATAAGCTTTTGAAAGAGGAATAAAGATTTTTAGGCAATTTGCTTTCCCAACAACGAATAGGTCCTTTCAATGTATATTTAGATGCAATTGAACTTACTGGTTCTTGCTGGTAGCATATTCAGCAAGCCTTCTGATTCCCTTCAGCGTCTCTGACTTTGTGCCCTGCGGGATTTCGGCCAACACGATCGTTGCCTTATTCAACGCCAGGTACGATTTGAATACGTAGATATCGCGAGCTAGCTTCTCATCTTCGGCTTTCAGGACGAGTTTCTAAAATATGATAGGCTGTAATAAGTTTTAAAAGCACATTCTAGTTCTGCTTTTAACCAAAATCATTTTAGTCAACAATTGCAAATTGGGAAAGCCTCTGCAACATAATTTATAGCTTTCTGTTTTTACGGATATAAGTAATCTTATCGATTTAATTAAATTTATTGAATTTGGGCTTATTCGCTCTACTCTTTCATTTAAATCGATTTCATTTCATTTCATTTTCTTACCTGACCCTCGCTGACGGCCCCCTGGAAGTTGCCGATGTAGAATAAATTTTTCACGTCGAAGAGCTTGTCGAAGGACATCTCTGAAACGTTTTTACGATGAAGAATTTAGCTTATTAAAGGGTTCTATAGCAAAAACGCAGGAAAAGAAGGACCACACAGCTCCACGTCAAGAGCAGAGAGCCCGCGGGGCCGGCGCTGGCCACAGGAATCGATCCGAGCGGGGCAGGGGAATAGCGGCGGGACCGGCACAGGTCGTCTTACCTGGCGTAATAGAGAAATTTGAATACGAGGTTAACACCTGCTAGGTCGCAACCGATTGGTTTGCACATTAATGACTGGTTACGGCATTTCGTCTACAATTTCCGGCTATTTAATCTTTGTGTAAATGACCCTGCCCTGTGCCTTCAAAAAATTCCCAGGATTACTGTATCTTTTCCAGATGGATGAGATCTCCTCCAACAGCGAACGGGCTCAAAAATCTGGCTCCTCGGCGACCACCTCGATTTGGGATGTTTCTCAAAAATCTTCCAGCTCGAGCTCAGCCTCGAATTTGAGCGATTTGAGGCGGAGGAACGAGTTGTTGAGGATCCAGGTAAGTAAAAATTATCGAAAAACTAGAATGTATAGTAAAAAACGATCGATTTTAGCTAAAACAACGAGAAGCCGAGCTGGCTCGAGAAAAATTTGCGGCGACAGAAAAGCTCGGCGAGAAAATACAGGCGCAGGGGCAGGTGGAGCAGATGAAGGTGGGTTTTTAAAGGCATTAGTCTCTTTAAGATTCTAGGCTCAAAAGAGTCGATTTTTAGGCAAAAATCTCTGCCCTTACTGTAATCTCCGATGACCTCCAACAGATCATTGCCGACTGTGAGGTGGAGCAAGAGAAGCGGCTTCGCGAGCTCGAAGCCCTCTACAAGGGCCATTTCGAGGAGATCTCAGATATTTCTAAACGACTACGGGTCGAAAACGGCGAGCTGAAGAAGCGATGGCTTGATGGAGAAGCCAAGGTGAAAACAACCTAGGCGTCCCGGATACAGAAATCATTCAGGCTTCAAGCTTCGGGCAAGAAAATTCATTCCTGCGTCGCGAGAACGACATGATGAGGCAGGACTTGGATAAATTGAAGCGCAACTTGGAGAAGAAGGATCGAGAGGTGTCCGAATTAAAAGTTGAAGTGACCGCTCAACAATTGGAGAACCAGAAGATTAGCCAGAGCTCGAATGCCAAGTGAGTCTTGCTCCTACTCTCTCTCTATCTCTTGCTCACCCGTTCTCTCTCCTGATCTGACTGTACATTTCAGAATTGAACGAGTCGTCCAAACCACAGCACAGACTACATCAACCCAGCTGGCTACGCTCAGGCTCCATTCAGAAGCCAGGGAACGAGAGTACGGACTCACCCTAACGAAAGTCAGGAATGAAATGGAATTTATGCAAAAAGAGGTAGAAAACTATAAGATTTTACGTCTTCTGTTGTAGCTTGTGCGCCGCGAAAATCAAATTAACCGGCTGACTACGCGATTGGACGAGCTAACGATCGATAATAAAAAGTTATTGGATATCAATACCGTAAGCCATTTCCTTTTGCTCTCTCTCTGTCTCTCTCTCCCTCTCTCTTTCTCCCTCTCCCTCTCTCCCTCTCCCACACGGTCTCTTCCGGAAAGCGTCCATTTTAGGAACTACGCCACGATACCGACGACGAGATTGCCGCTTTCAAAAATGAGATAGCAAGATATCGAAAAGACATCGAGGCTTTGCGAGATCAGCAGGAAAATATACGCTCGACGCCGATTCGAAATTGTAGTCTGGAGTCTCGGAGTTCGATAAAAATTTGTAGCGACGTTTACTCGTAATCAAGACGACATCGGCTGGGAAATGAAGTACGAAAAAGCGCAGTCAGCTATTCGAAGCTTGCGGGCACAGGTAGGTGCGGGCTCTCTGGCTTTTGCTCTCTCTCTCTCGCCCTTGCTCTCGCTCATATTCACTCTCGATTTTGCCAAGGTCGAATTTTAGGTGCATGATCTTCGAAACGCAAACGCTCCCAACCTTAACGACCAGCAAACCTTTCGAGAGCTCCAAAAAACCAAAATCGAAGCCGTTGAAGCTCGCGAAGAGCTTCGACAAGCCCTGCTGGAACGGGATTCCGAGATGGATCACCGTAAAGACGTTACCAAGGTGTTGGTGGAGATGACCAAGGATTTCAAGCTGTTACTTGCCGAGAATAAGAAGATCGAGATCCAATTGCACAGGAAATAAGTTATCAAGTGTTTACTCCTAATATTAATTTAGTTTCGATTTTAATCTTCATAAAAAATAATAATATTTTGCAAAAGATTTTACAAACCTGAAGCGCGAAATGTATTAATGTGGTTGCTGTACTTCATTGAGTTGTTTGTGTATTTGGGCCTGAATTTCATTCAAGTATCTTTTATTCCAATCCACATACAATACCCATACGTGTTGAGATCAAAAATCGAATAAACGGGTCTACATTCTTATGGCAAGTTTTTAGGGATAGAGAAGTATCGACACTTCACTTTACAAGGCTACAACACCGTATCGGCTACAGGTTGGGGCATTTGGAGCATTTGGAGTTTGCCCCGGCTCGGTTTCGTCCACGATCGTTTCTGCGGTTTTTGAGGGTCGCATTTTTGGGCTGAAATATGGCTATTAAAGGCGTTTTTAAGGTTTATGATTGCAAAATTTCTTAGATTTACTTTCTGAGTTTAAAGGCTAGTAAAAATAAATTTATAAAGCGTTGCGTAGCTTGCTAAAAAACGTACTCATGCATATTGCCGAGCGCAATTTCTTGGTCTTCCTCTTCGTCGGAGATGTCGCCTTCTTCCCACCTAAAAATTGCCATTTTTAAGATGAATTTAGAGTTTTAGGTCATTAAATGTTTAAATTCTAAAAATCTCCAAATATTGTCACATTTGTACCAACCTGCTGTACCGCTTCTGCGGCACCGAGACGTAGAAGCCGACATTGTTTCCACAACAAATCAGGAAAATCGTGAAGAGGATCATCGCGGAGAGCAGGCAAAGGAGCCCGACTTCCAGCATGCTCCAGGCGGAGGCGGACTGGTTGCCCTCGACTACGAAATGGGAGAATTAGGCTCATTTTACGCTCTTTCTCTCTCACTCGCTCTAGCTATCTTTCTCTTTCTATTTATCTCCGAATGTCTCCCTCCTGGCTAAAATAATGGTCGGCTTGTAAAATTTTTAGTTTAAAGGGAAGCTGAAAGGCCGAGGTCCAAACCTTAAAGGAACTAGGAAGTCACCGAGTCAACTGCGCATGGCCAGGTGTCGACGGCCGCGTTATGCTTCTTATCGAACGCTAATTAAAGCGCCGTGTAGTTTTCGACACCTAGTGGAATCTGGGGGTCGATTCTCAGATGTTCTTGCCCCTGAAGGGTACCCGGTTTTGTTTTTCATATAATTTCCAATAAAAATTTATGTTAAAAACGTCAGGGTTTTTGCTGTCACTATCCCTTTAAATCCAGAAATTTTCCCGAATCTTGAATTTAAAGCCCGAATGGAAATTTTCAAGCATTGAACTCACATTGGCAAACGGCCGTGGGACAACGGCGTAACACACGTGCATCGGTATCCGCTGCCAAGGTTCCCAGGCATCCGACCCTCCATTCCAGGCACTGCGTCGTCAGACAGTCCGACAGGAAGTCTAGAGAAGAGACAAAAAATACATCCTCGTGTAGCATTCAAGTCGTCAGCCGGGTTTTCAGTATTGCCCACATCCTACGGCCTCAGGTAGTCCCAGGAGCTTTTCCTCTTTTTTGTTTTTGTGTGCGCGGCGTTCAGTGACGGAAATGGGGGTTCGGGGATTATGGTAGACCAACTATCGAAAATAATGATCTCGAGAAAGGGTGATTTGGTCTATTTTGTCGGC